TTAAATTTTTCTTTTTTTTTGTGAATACCCCCCTGGGGGCCACCTTTTTTTCAGGGGTCCAAAAAAAAAAAAAAAAAAAAAACAGCCCTCTTTTTTTCTTTTTTTTTTTTTCTTTATAACGTCAAGAATCCACTCCTAAAAGCATCTGCATTTCAATTCAAACTGATGCGGACGGTAGCGTGCTCTCGGTGGCAGACGGCCGAAATGAACCAAATTGAAACCTCCTGATTGTCACATGCAACGTCTCGTGCCACGTTAAAAAGCGGGCCAGAAGAAGAGCTCGTCTCCAGTTTAGGAAGCAACAAAAGTTACTTGAGAAAGTGCAAGCGTGTAAAAAGAACGGCGAGGATAGTGGTGTTGAAATTCATCGCTCAGTGCGGCAGCCATTTATTTATTTAATGTAGAGTACATTGTGTTTAAATGTGTTGATAAAGTGACTCTTTGACGTAAGCTGATCGACATGAGACCTCTAATTTAAGAACATACATTTCAGTGACCTATAAAGGCGCTAAAGTCAGACATGCTGTACAATGCAGATATCAGAATTTTATATTTGTTGTCTGTTACAAACACTCCAGGTTCTTTTCTGTGTTTTATTCTTACGTTTCCTGTTAAAGCGATGTTACCTCTTCCCGGTGCTGTGTTTGTAACTTTTTTTTCCTGATGAGACGGCATGCGTGGTTTTAAAAGTCTGTTTTTGATCAAACATTTCTTAACCGTGTAGAAAAAGCGTGGGAACCTGTTTTCCATCAGCGGTCGGGTGAATCTGGTAGGAGGGATGCTGCGTTGTACTGTAATAATGGCTGATTTATCATTAAGGGATCCACATTTATCATTTTGTTTTTAAGAAGAAATATTGTTAAGGAGAGAATGGAAAGAAATTAAAAATCATTCAGACATTCTTTACAGCACCTTCTGGTCTTTAATTGGGATTCTCCTTAAAGGACTGAAGTCGCCACAGTTATTGACAGTCAAGTCGGGTTACAGCTCTCTTAGTACTGAACACATTACTAGTACAGTTCTCATTGCACATGCCGTTATATAATGCCTACAAGTTATTGGATTCTGATGAGAAAAGTGCAAAAACACTAAAACCTAAAGTCCATGCACACAGTGTTTGGTTACTTTTTATTAGTACAAAAAAATGACAACATTGAAATGAGGTTTGTCTAGTGTAAATACTTCTGTTCATAAAAAAGTCTACTGAGTGTGTACTGGATAAAAAGCTTGACTGGCACACCTTTGGGTGCAAATATATAAAAGGTTAAATTAGTAACGGAACTCCTATAGCATATTTAAATCTTCTCCAGCTCCTTGAGCAGCTCATCGAAGCTCGTCACATACCAGGAACTTCTCTCCTTGACTTGAGCTCTGACGACATTCCCGCCAAATCCAATGAAAGCATTCTGAAGAAGAAAAGAGTGGATATTTTTATGGAAAAGGCTACTAATGCTAAAGATGCATCACTGGTGAGCGCAATAGGCTGATTTATACCCTGATCAACTTAAAACTCTTCCCTTTTTGATCTGTGAACAAGGTTTACACCCGATGGTGTAGGTGAGCGCCATCAGGCCAGGCTAACAACGCTAACTAGTGTGGAAGCTAACTGGGTAAAGAACGCTAGAAGTTGCTTTCAGTGTCGGTGAAGTATTAAAAGAAAATTAGGTCACAGTAAGAAGCTATTAAATGTAAACTTTTTTATGTGAGGTCACATCTTTGAGAAAAAGACCAAACTGTCAGCAAATAACAGAAAAACTGCTCTATATTTTTTTCTTTTTATCTTTTAACCTCTGATGGAAAACGCTGGACATCAAAATGTGGAAACCTTTAGAAAATCTCAGGTTTATGGTTTTAGTAATGCTAGATGCAGTAACTGCTAATAACTTAAGTGTTAAGAAAACCCTATTTTAAAGCAACCACTTTATAATAAAGCACCATTTGTTCCTTACATTTATATG